CACTGAAGACAATAGTGGAGGGCAAAGATGTAACCTCTCTGGTCCAAATGTTATACATTCACATTACATCTCCTGCAGATAAAAACCCATCATTAAAATGAAGAAGAAAATTAATTTTGGAACAGTGTAGTTTTCTGAATTATTGTTTCAGACAGAAATGAAGTGGCAGAACTGCCCAGTCTTAGTATAATTCATTAGGCAGATTCATTATGGTTGTATCTATCAGCCAACCCACATCAGATCCTCTTGTGCTAGACATTATAAAACCAAAAGCTGTTCTGAAAGTTGGACTATGCAGAAAATCATTTTGTACCACAGAAATGTGTTGCTTGGAGAGGTGCCTAGCTTCGTCACTTTTTTAGCACAAACATTTTTAGAGTAAGTAAAATGGTGTAATATTAATTTCACCCAAAACTTCAGATTATATAGGCCATGCTACACAGAAACAGAACATCAGCCAGAATGTATTGCTTGTTTGTGACTGGGAAGAGCCAGATAAAAAGGTAGAGACAAGTGGTCAGAGCTGCAAAGGGAAGGGTGGGGTATGTTGACTGAGGGAAACATGAGGAATCAATCTTTCTGATAGAAAATAGACTGGAGGAATGCTAGGAGTACTGAACAAATATTGAAAAAGGTATGTTCTTCCTCAAGGAAGTAGAACTTTGTCACTGCTGCTCCCAACTCTACCCTTGACTTGGTTTCCTGGATGAAATAATATATAAGACCAAAAGTACCGGCTCAAAAGGGATGTGAGGCACATTTTTTGAGTTTGGATCAGAAGAGGCAAGAAGATATTACTGGTTTTGCCCTTAATGTTGCAGTTTATTTGTCCTTCATAAAAAAATAAAATTAAATAACTGTGCTTTTTCTTCCTTCCAGCCTCCCATCCAGCAGCTCCACTGCAAATCAGATGCCATGTAGGGTAGGTACTTCTTCTTTCCAAATGTTTGTTTAATCTCCTCCTTCCCTTCTGTTCAGTTTCTTTTACAGTACAATAAAGCCTGGATTTTGTCCACCAGTCTGTGTATATATTAGATCCTCAGCCTTATTTGTATCTATGATGACCTCTGGGGAGAATATATCATCACTTTCTCACCTCACTACAGCAGTGAAAGTGAGTAAAACACAGTTGTTTTGTCTTTGAGTAATGCATGTGATAATGTCTTAGGTTGCAATGCAAGACGTAACCAAAAGTATGTATTCTATTACCATCTGTAAAAACCAGGTAGGGCAATGTTCTTTATCTCTTCCAAGACCCATCCTCATAACACCAAGAGGATCTCTTCTGTTAATGGGCTATTGAGTCTCACTGCACGACTGATAAAATTCCATCATCCCATTGTGAGATGCTCCACCCAGGGGGAGGAGCCAAGCATTCCTACCAGAATATAGTCTGAGACTTGGAACACCACAGTCAGCCTTTTTTTCCACTGGATTCCCAGAGGAAGACCAGACTGTTCTACATCACCACTGGACCTTCAGGGGAAAACTACACCATTTTACAGGATCATTGCTTCAACAGAACCACTCTGTCACTCCAGGAGGGCTGCAGCCACCACTTAATCAGACTGCTACCAACAGGGTGTTAGGTTGTATTCTAACTCTGTCCGTGTTTCTTGTACTACTGCATTTTATTTTAATTTTTCTATTAAGTTGTAGTTGTTTCTCGGGTTTTTGTTTTGGTTTTTTTTATTTATACATACTAGTAAAGAACTGTTATTCCTACTCCAGTATCTTTGCCTGAGAGCCCCTTAATTTCAAAATTATAATTTGGAGGGAAGAAGTTAACATTTTCCATTTCAAGGGAGGCTCCTGCCTTCTTTAGCAGACACTTGTCTTTTCAAACCAAGACAGATGAGGTGGTTATCTTGGTAATTAAAAAACCCAACCCCCTCCACCCCAAGAACTCTGAATGGCTTCTCCATTAATCACCAAAGAGCACCATTGACTTACCATGTTTGTAAGAGACATGCCCCTAAAAAAGCAGACACAATTCTTCTAACTCAAAGGACGTTTTATCTGGCAGTCTAATAGCTTTCACTCACAGATATTACAATAATAAACCGTGAGTGAGAAAAGGTAATAAATATGGGCCTGCATATCTTAAATATATGACTGAATTTTATATGTTTACCAATCTACTTTAAATGTAAACCAGTAATGTTCAGGTCATCAAAAGCCAGCAAGACTGGGATAACCCAGCCTTCTGATTGATCCATCTGGTTGTTAAAGCCTGGTGAGAGTTTGCCTCTGATGGGGTTACCAGATGTCAGCCAAGCAGCAGTGCCCATGCCCTTAGCCCATGGCAGTAGTGAGATATGACACACAACCTTCTTCCACTGTAAATGCAGCTTAGGAAAGGTGTTTTCTCACATTTGAAACTGTTTAGGAGGAATATGAGTCAGTCAGAGGGAGATGATAAAGGAAATGAAAATCATTACTTACCTGCTGTGTGACCAGTGTCTTACTTCACCCACATTTTGTGAAGCTGGGCTTTTGCAGGAGGGATTTGTGCACTGTGACGTGAGTGATTCCAAAATTTTTGCCCAGCCGCTGCTGAGATATGGTTTAATACTTATGTAACTATTCCTAGTTACCTAATCTAGTAAAAATACTAGATGTCATTGGTCCTTCAGCATCCCTTACACCTTGTCCAATATGAGCTGTGGGTTGTTGGGGACAGGTTTATCCTTGGAGAGACACTTATAACAGAATGACTCTGTCCCTGGCTCTGATGGAAATGCAAGCCTTGTAAACAATACTAATGCCTGAACCTCTGCTAAAATCTGCAGACACCAGAAAAGTACCAAATCAGATCAGTAGGTCAGATCTTAATTGAGAAACAGAAATGCAGAAAAAAAAAAATCTAAGGCTCTGTTTTGAGATGCACAGGATGGATGCCTGTACACTGATATTCATCTCTCAAGACTAAAGACTGAGAAAGAACCTTCGTGCCATGTACAGGAGAAAAATCCAAGTTAGCCAAATATATTTTTGTTAATCATAATATTGATGAATCTTCCATGGCCACAAGACATGGTCTATGGCATACAAGCAGGAATTAGCCTTTATTACTGTCATATCTGTGTTGTGGGACTCCTACCATGGCAATCATCATCAAAGGGCAAGAGTCAGACGTTCTTCCTAGGAGGAAGCCCACATGGAGTACACAGCAGTGGGCTTTTACTGCCAGCATTCATAATCAGCACCATCAACTGCAGACTACTTTTCTGCTGCCATTAGTCACTAAGGATTGAGAGCAAATATGTGAGGAGAATACAATTAAATAGGTGCAAATGGAAAGCGGGATAAAATGCAACAGGACTTTACCAAAGGTATATTTTGTGAAACAAACCCAGAACTCTCTGTGAGTAGAGGAAGGTTCCTGAATAAGGAGAAGGCAGAAGATTCAGCATGACTAGACCTCAGTCTGTGTTTGACATATAATTTCACAGAAAGCTGTTACAGGGGTTGATAAGATGCTGCAGCATGGGTAAGAAGTTGTCTAAGAAGAGATGCCACAGAGGAAATGCTCCCTCGTGGAAAGAAGCTCCTGAAGGATCAAGCAGCACAAATATCTAAAGTGTAACAGGTCCATCCATGTATTAAATTATGGACAGTACCAGTGACATTTCTTGATGGTGTGGCTGGGAGGAGCAACCAGGAGAAAGATCAGGATAGCCTGGAAAAGGGTTTGCATGAACTCGAGGACTTGAGGAATACTGACAGAAGTTCAAGCACTAGGCAACCAGAATATGTATTTTTAGAATAAACAATAATTATATCCAGTTTTGAGACTCATATCTGTGATTTACAGGGGTACGACCCTGTGGCCGTACAAGTGGTACATATTTATGGGTCATCAAATGAGTGTAACATAGTGAGAGGACTAGAGGAAGTGGCCTTAAAGTGAGACAGAAGAGATTCAGATTAGGCAACAGAAAAAAAATTTCCACTATTAGGGTGGACAGGTACTGGAATAGCTGCCCAGGGAGGTAGTGGAGTCACCATCCCTGGAGGTGCTCAAGAAGAGTCTGGATGTGCCGCTGGGAGATGTGGTTTAGGGTTATAGTGGCAGTGCCAGGTGGACGGTCGGACTGGGTGATCTCAAATCGCGGTAATTCCGTGATAGTCTTGGGAAAGACAGGGAGACCCCAAGGTGGTGGTTTTCACCTCTGAGCTATCATTATTATATATTCTGCTCAATTCTTAGGTATATAAGGGACTTGGTGTACCCTACAATCCAAAACTGACGTAAGGACGGCTCAAGGGAGGCTTTTGGTCTCCACCAACTCCTCTCTGCGGACCCCCAGCCGGGGACGTCACTCAGCTTCTTCGCAAGTCCTTTTTCCCGTCCACCCCTTCCGCCTCTCCGAACAAGTCTGTGGGCAGGACAGGACAGGACAGGGACAGGACAGGGACAGGACAGGACAGGACAGGACAGGACAGGCCGCGCGCCCGGGTCCCTCAGGAACGCGCAGTCCGAACCGAGCCCTGCGCGCCCCGGGCGACCCCGCGCGCTGACCCCACCGGCCGCCCCGCGCCGCGCGCCGCGCGGGGGAGGCGGTCCCGCCCTCCGCGCAGCCCCATTGGCTCCCCGCGGGACTCTCCGCGCTCCCCTGCGCTTCATTGGCCGGGGCGCCCCCTGCACCGAGCCGATTGGCGGAGCGGGCCGGGATCCCCTCCGGCGGGGGGGCGGCGCTCGGGCGGGGGCGGCCGCTCGGTCACCTGCGGCCGGGGCGGCCCCGCTCCCCTCCGCCGGCCCCGCCGGGGCGGCCGCGGCTTCACTGGGAACGGCCGGGTAAAGCCGGAGAAACAAAGAACATGGCGAGGGGAGGAGGAGCTTACGCCGCCTCAACCGCCGGGAAGGGCGCTCCGGGGGCGTACAATGCCCGCCGCGGGGCGGGCTCGCTTCCCTCCGCCCCTTTTCCCCGCCCCTGTGGCCGGGCTGACGGGGGGCTGGGGCGGAACGGGACGGGACGGGCTGAACTGAACTGAACTGGACTGGACTGGAGATGGCCGTCGGGAGTGAGTCCGCTGTCTGCCGCAAGTTTCGCCCGGAGTGGGAAAGTTGGGCGGGACATGTCCAGGTAAGGAACGGGCGGGGGTCCCGCGGCACCTGCGGGCCGGGCCGCACTCCCGCTCCGCCCGCAGCTCCCGGGGCTCCGGCCGCGGCCGCAGGTGCGGCAGGACGGGGCGGCCGTGCCTAGCGGGCTCCGCGGAGCCGGTGGGGGTCAGGCAGCCCTCGAGACTGGAAACTTTGTAGGAACTTGGAAGGTTGTCCGCACTGGTTGTCTCCCTGTCTGGGGAGAGCCGCCGCCGTGCGCTACCCCGCGGCACCTGACCCAAAACCTGGCGGGACTGTCAGGGCCAGAGCGGGAACCTACTAAAAAACTCTTCCTAAAATTGCGTGGAGTTACAATCCTACCTGTGGAGAGGTGCCGGGACCGCTGCCCGTGTGAAAGGAAGATTCTCCAGGCGGTTTTCTACTGGCGCCCGCGCAGAGCGCGGCTCTCTGCTGGTTTTTCTCAACTCTTAAATTATTCTTTAGCTCTGGTCTTGAATAAATATTGCTCATGTCAGAATGATTATGGTACTGTTGAGAGGCCTTGGTCGGGATTTTGATCCTTTTAGTTTGTGCTGAAATGGAGACTTTGTTGTTTTTTGTGGTTTTTTTAAACTTTTAAACTAATTATTTGAGCATCCGGTCTGAGGAGTAACTTAAATGTATCTAACTGAGCGTTCAGCTTTTCAGCGTTTAAGATGTCCTGAGATAGTTAGCTGAAGTTTGAATCTTCAGAAGTGAAGAGATAAATCACTGGGCTGCCTAAAGTCATGATTAATGCGTTCACAATTAATTCAGTTACGGTCCTGTCCCCCCCCATCCTCCCGCAGATTCACATCGGAGCAGTTCAATTGCATATCAAAAGCCTCTTCTCATTTTCATTTAGTAAGTTATTAGACTTACGAACTGTTCTTGCTCCTTTAATTCTTGCTTTGCTCACACCCTCAACAATTGAAATGAAATTTTGGGGCAAGCGTCCCTGTGTGTTTGCTAAGACACAAGTAATAAAGACAGCTTAGTGACAGAAAAACCAGGAGCGTAAATAGCCATTATTTTCTATCAAAGGTTAATTAGTTATCATCTTTATATCTGCACATTTAAGTATAAGATGGGTAAAATTTTAAGGTGCAAGTGCACAGTAGTTCTGGAAGGTACTGTTACACATTGCCCCAGTTTAAGAAGAATATCTCTTTAAAATGTGTTGACATTTAATTGACCTTTGAAAGTTCATTCTGTTAATCATACTCAAAGCACTAAAGCTATGGTTGACTGATCTGGTGCTCGTACATTCAGCCGTGCTCAGCATATAAATTCTGCAGCATAATTGCTACTTATTGAGCAAGAGTTTCTTTTCTTCTCCGAAAATGAGAAAGTTTTGCTTCGCCTCCGGCTGGGTGCTACGGGTAGAGTTGTGAATCCAAATGCTTTCCTGCCATCAGTTGTTGTGGCGGGTGTGGCCTCCAGCCAGGCAAGAAATTCCTTTGCTGAAGCTGTGGGTTTTTCCTTCCTGAGGCCGCACATAGGGCAAGGTAACCTTGAAGGTTACTTCTGTATCTGCTTCGAGTCAAAACACAATAGGTCACTTTGCTTTTTATGTTTTAAGCTCTTCTATATGCCAGCTGTTTGAATGGAGAAGGCTGAGTTTAAAAAGGTTGATTGCAGAAGATAACTCCCTCTCTCCTCAAAAACTTGGCTTGTAAACTCAAACCTAATATACCCATGTTAATATGCATGCTACCTTTTTATGGCTGTTGTGCATAGCTTTGTTGTAACTCAAACTCATACAGATACAGGGAATGGAAGCATTACTTATGAGCTCACTGTTGAAAGATCTGGGCAAAAATTAATTTTTACTGGGTTCATTTTCTGGATAGATTTCCTGATGAGGTTAATATAGTTGGTAATAGTTTTTTGTGTATTTAGACCTCTTGTCTCATATAATGACTTTGTAAGTCTGTCTATTGCCTCATGAGAAATGAGGGAAATACTAAATGTTAGATGCAGTGTCAGTGGTTCCTAATACATCATTAGCTCTTTGCTGTTATCATTGAAAACTAATTAATAGCTCTTAGTCATTAATCTACTTACAAAGTTAGAGACCTAGCATTACTGTTGTAGTTTTCTAAGCTATTTTGTCAGTGCTGCTTTTGTACTGGAATGCCCTTGCCCTAACTGTGAAGACAAATATGATGTTCAAGGTGCATTTGCAGCCCAGTAGCTAACTGCCCTGACACTGTTGGGTTAGGAGCTGTTAAAGTCCACAGAGGCAGGGATTGTCTCTGAACAAGTATTCATCAGGGCTGTGTCCACCAGCACACGAGTTCTTTGAATACTAAAAAGCAATCCTGTGGTTGAGTTTTGTTTATTTTAGTAGAATAGGTACAAGGACCACACATGATTCATTTCACTGATTCTTTAGTGAAATGAATGAAGATAAATGTGCCAAGAGCATGTCTGTACTTTCTGTACAGTTGACAGAAGGAGGAGGCAAAACATTCAGGGTAGCTTAAGGGCTGGAGTGTGCAGATGCCTGACCTGCAGCTGCCCTGATGCCTGTAGCCCACAGCTGGCACCTGCTTTGTCTTTGGGATTTGCAGGAAAAGGCCGTGCAAGGTGTCCTCTCTCACCTCAGGGGACAACCTCGGGAACCAGCAGGACATATAGAGAGAGACCTCTGCAGCTTAACTTTTATAGAGGCTTAAGTCTTGGGTCTAGCTAGGTGAAGGTGTCAATCCATTTGTTATTTGCAGTTGCAAGCACTGCCCTGGAATGAGATGCCTGAGCAGGCAGGGTCTCCTTCCCCAAAAGGGGGTCATCTCACTGAGTTGGAGGAGTGATTTGAATGTGGTGGCTCTCCTGGGTGGCAGAAGCTCCTGGTCTGAACCTCTCCTGTTGAAAGCAGTGGCCAAAGCATGGATGGCATCACCACATAGGCACAGACATTCAGATGGGGGAGTGAAAACCAAGTTTTGAATTGTTGCTGAGACGGGCCTAGAGGAGGATTTAAACCTGAACTTTTCTTGTCCTAGTGTTTGTATTGTACAAAAAGATTTCTGGTGCAGCTGGTGTATTCCCAAACTCATTATTTTATTGTTGGGATAAAGGACATATCTGGAAGTTGCACATTCTTGCACTTCAGCAGTTGAGAAGTGACAGGGTGAGAAGGGGATTTGAGAACCATGTGGTGGTTTGGACGTGCAGTATTGGTTCAATCAGTGTTATGAAGGCTTCAGTGTTGGTACAAGTAGCTGCTGGCAGGAAGCTGTGTGCTTGGAGGGTAGTAACAGCCAAGAATGGATGATTAAAGTTTTAATAATATCTAAAACTTTATCAGGCGCCTAAACCCTTGAGGGTTAAGAGGGAGAGTCTTATGAGGGTGATGGTTGATGTTCTTTCTATCTGCATTCCTAGATTACTATGAAGAGGATAATGTGAAGTTATTCTCGGAAGATTATGGCACTGCGAAAGGAATGTAGCACTGGGCCATAAATTAACTGGAACAGGAAAGGCTTATTCTCAACTCCAGTTTATTAGCTCAGCCATATGCATATGTAACCCTTTGTACCAAAAACTTGTACTGTATAAGTATACCTTTCACAATAGCAGCCTAGCTATACAGCAAATAGATTTTTGTGCAGAAAAGTTTCTCCTTAAGTTCAGGTAGATAGAAAATAAGTTTTATGTTATTCTGTAGGACTGCTTTTGTCTATGACACTCCATGTTGAATAAAACACATGATAATATGTTCTCGATGAGTGTTAGATCCATAGATGCTTTTTCTCTGTAACCATTTGAAATTTTAGAAGCATGTGTTAGAGTGTATACATAGACAGGTTTAGTTGCATTTTAACATACTTCCTGGTCAAGGTGAGCCCAGGCCATCCTAATGTGACATGCCTGACATAATCCCAAGGGGATTAGTTGTTAAGACATTTGAAAAATAAAGTCAGGTCTTGCTTCAGTGGTTTTCCTTAGTGACACATGTTCTAAATTAAAGCTTTTGCAGCAAGTTGATTATAAACTTTCTATGAGTCTAAGCAACTGAGAACTGTTCTTGGACCTGTCAAGAGATGTACTCATAGCTCTAATTTTTAGCTGACTACTAAATCTATATTTATCCACCAGGGATTTTCCTCACTATTGACCATCAGAAAAGTGTTGATTTTTTTTAATAGAAAAAGGTTTCATATGTGCCCTGTTTCTTTTTCTGTTCCTTTTCCATAATCTCTGGGCAGTTATTTCTGCTATCATGAGTAAAATGCAGTTACTCGACCTGTTTGGATGTGTGAAAAGTTGTGTACGGGCAGCATTTAGAGTAACTCTTTGTGACTTATACTGAAAACTTTGGGGTGAAGGTGAGGAAGAAGAATAATTCTAATTTCCCAGTGCCTGGAGTTAATCAGTATGGGTTTCTTCTCATTTTGTGCCTTCCTCCTACCTGTAATTTCTCACATGCAGCTCCATTTTAGCTGTTCCAGAAGGGCTCACTCTGCCTTCTCTTCTTGCAGAAGTGTGTGTATTCTTTGTCATGTCAGCACTGATTACTTTGTAGTAGTTTTTTAAGCACTTTGGAGCTTCCCCAGTGTCTTAGCTGCGGCATTTATGCTGGTAAGCCCTCTTTCCTCTTTGCTTCACTGATAAGTCTAATGCTTTCTCCTTCTTTGTAGGACTGAATTGTGCCGCTCTTTCAACTTGGTGGGCGTGTTTTTGTCATGTGCTTATGAGTCTGTTGTAACTTCTGCTTCTTAAAAGTTGAGAGGAAAGACCTTTTCAGGGGGATGAGGATACAGGTTAACATTAACAAGATTCAGGTTCATGGCCCTGTCAGTATGATGTCAGCATTTTATCTGATAGTCAGAATATTTAATTCCAAACTGTGGGATCAAGCAAGTGTTGACTGATGTTCAGCCTCATTCTGTCCCCTCATTACATAAGCCTGGTCACACCCAAGGAAAGGAGAGGCTGCTGGAAATAAATGAAGAATGGGACTTGAGTAGGTATATTGCCCCAGTGGGTATGTGTGCAAAGGTTAGTACATTTGCTGCACATGAACTCTAGTTTTTTTCTTTAAATGTTGCTGTTATATATTTCTTTCGCTATGAATAAAAAAGTGTTTTCTAAAATACTTTAGAAATGGTGTTCTTAATAAAGCTGCTTTCTACACACTTCTAGTGGATGTTTTGCTTCACATAGTACCCAGTAGTTCTCTTTCATCTAGAACTAATTTCTGATAATGTTCAAGTACCTTTGGGACAAGAGTAATCAATGCATTGCACAACCTCATGGGTAAGGATGTGTGAGGTGAAGCCTTGCAGACTCTTCTGCAACATCTGGATACTTGTGCATTTCACTGTGGAGCATATTAAGTTGCAATAGTGTAGGGGTCAGAGGCTGTATTTGTTTTGATCTTCTGGAGATAAAGGATAAACATTATGATTGTGCTAATTATTTTGAGAGTCTTTATGTCCCAGTTTTGTGTTTGAGCTCTAAATGAGGAAAGGAGTGATGGGAAGTAAGAAATGGCCTTCCCTGTATTTGCAGGGAATCTGGGATGGATGCGGTGTCCTACCTATAGGCAAGCAGAAATGATTCCTGCATTAACAACCTGACCTTGAAACTGGAAATACGAGGGTAAACTTGAAACATGTGAGGTGTGAGCCACTGGGCTAGATCATAGTTAAAGTCCCTGCTTTTCTCAAGAGTACAGCAGGGTATAAAATAGTTCCCCAGGAATGTGACTTCAGCAGAAATTGCATGTCCTTAATAAAGGAAATAAGAAATGTGTTTTAGGAGAGAGTTTGCAAAATATGGGATGAAAGTGTTCTAGAACTTGGAGGATGTTGGGGCAGAATTTTTTGTTTATACATGGTTCTGGTCAGCCCAACATATGTCTGTTCCTGCATGCAGGGATCTCAGGTGTGTGCCATAACTGTAATGTGTCCCCTGTGCCAGAGTCTTATCACTGCAGCTGTATTTTGCCTTTGAAATGGACAGTGCAGCTGAATGAGTTGTAAATGCTTTAGGTATTTTGTTCACACTTTTGAAGCTAAGTAAATGTTCTTTTCTAATCATGGGATCTGTTATATTAGGCTCCCTTGGACAATGTGTCTCCCATAAAACTATGAGAAGTTACTACCATTGGAGACTGTTTTGTGTTCTAATATATGCTGTTTATTCTTGTGCTGACCCAGTACGTGGTCTTAGTATTTATCTGACATAAGAATCCACAAACTTAATGGCTCTGTACTGGGAGGTGATGCAGCAGTGGGGTGTTAGGCACAGTTTCAGGCCAGACACTATACTGCTTGTGGAGCAGCAGCTGGCATGGCACTTGGCTCTGCCAACAAGGAGAGAGAAATGCTTTGAACCACCTGGGTGTCACCCACTTCTGCCAGCTGATACCAAAGAACAGTCAAACCTGTTGCATATTCCTTTCTGGCCAGTACTTAAGGTTTGCAGGCTTCACAGTAGTTCCCTCATGACACTGAAATGGAGAGGAGTAAGCAACACCATACTGTCCACTGATGCTATAGCAGAGCATAAATAGTGCTCATACTCCTCTTTAGCTTTCACTTGTTGCTGCAGCTGGCTGGTGGAGATGTGTTCATCAAAGGCATCTTTGTTTCATGTGGCACATCCAAAATGGGCTCAAGTACCTTCAGAAGGAGTACAAATTGATAAATAATATGTTTTGAGTAGATTCATTTCAGTTAATAAGTGCTACATCCTGCACTTCTTTTGCTTTTGTTGTGTGCTCATAACTTAGATTTCAGAACTGTTGTGTGTGTTTTCTTCCTCTATTTTAGGTTGGTTTACTTTAGTTCTCCTTAATTTGTTTTTTCTATGCTCTTCTCAATCTCTGTTTCTTTCAGTTTTTCCTAATGTTGTGGTTCTGTCTTGTGTATCGGAACATAGAGAACAGGAGTTTTCTATATTCTTCTTCCTCTAGAATGATTGTGAATAAATTCTTCTCCATCTTAAAGGGTCTGGGGAGTTTGCTTTCCTGAAATGATGTTAAATCTGAGATTGATTATGTGGGTGGTTTTGGTTGTGTAATCTGTATGTTTCTTAATATAATAAATGAGAATTCATTATGCCTACCTCTGGTGGGAAATTTAAATTCTTCAGTGTTGTTTCTGAATACTTATGCTTCCTTAGCAGTTAACCTTTATCTACATGGATTGAGAGACAGCTGTGTTCAGGAGTAATGTGTCACTTTAAACACATTCTAAGTTTTAAATGACAGTACCAGAAAAGGACACAGTTGTAATAATGGTTGTTAAAAGCTATATGGCTTCTTGCAGACAGCCCTAATAATGAGAACTATGTGATCTGAACTGCTGAACTTCTGGAATTACAATAACTTCTGTTCATGTATGTGATTCAGATTCCTGGAAATCTGAGGAGCAGCCTTTGGTGGATGAAGAATGTAATTCTCCCTGGAGATGTGGGTATCCCTTTTGAAGGGGACTGAAGTAGAATCAGCTGATATCCAAGGAGTAAGTTCTTGGGCTTTTTTTTACCAGATATATTGCTAGTGAGGTGCACTGTAATCCACTTGGATGGATTAGAAGCTGATTAAAGTCTTTAATGATTAGACATTGAGGAGAGAATTTTGGGAAGAGGCTCAAGAAAACTAGGCACTAAATGTTGTTCATGATTTTACCAAGAGTTTTGACATCTCATTCCCAAATGTTTGGATGTTTTGTGTATCGTTTGGTGCATAATTTCAATTGTTTGTATGCAACTGCCTGCTTAGTGCAGGGGGAGGCTGTTGCTTCTGGCATTTTAGAGCTAAAATGCAGCTGGGAGAATTGGATTCATGTACAACAGTTGGAGATACTCATGCTGTGTCATAACAGCTGTGAACTCAAGTTCATGTAAGTAATGTGTGCTTAATCTTCCTTTGCTGTCAATGACAGGAAGAGGAGGAATAATATTTTCCCATATTTAATGATGATCTTGAAGTTTTTGACAAGCAAATTTGAAAATGTAAACTACAAAGCAATTTAGGAAATAATTGCCATGAGTTAATTTTTTGCAAATTCTATGTAGCTTTTAATTTGCGTTTTCATCTGTTGCTATTCCAGTGTTAATCTGATATGATTAAAAACTAATTTACCTGTCTGACTTACCCCGTCACCTCATCTATATGGAAGGTAACAAAAGAGGTAGAGGCCCTTTTTCAAATTCTAGGAGCGCTTGGCAAGTTTTGGTTTAGTTGTTTGTTTGTTTGCTTTTGTAGTTCTTTCTTTGTCACCAATAATCCATTCATCTGACTTAGAAATTTCAGGGGAATGAGAGAAAAGCATGGGAAAGCTTTTTTTATTTTTTTTTTTCACAGAACAGGGCTTAAGTGCTACCAGTTTGCCCCTTTCTCTTTCTGGGACATTAACTATAAATTCATGAAGACATTGAAAAGTTTGAATTATGTTTCTTTTGTGTTACATGTATTTTACCTGTTCAGGTATGTTTCACCTTATTAAGATCAGCATGTATCAAGCCCTGTTGATTGCTATTTGAGTCTTGGACAATTTCTTACTAAACACCTCTGTAAGAATACTTTACAAATTAAATATCAGAGTGGTAAAGACAACTCATTGCCTTCCCCTGCATAACAGTCCATACTGAGTGACTCACACTTTTGGACTGACCTTCTTTTGACTTTCATACAGATATAATATGTTTGTGTTTTTAAAATGGAAAGGTAGTCATATATGGAGTGGAATTGCATATGGTTGCTGATATAATGTCCCTCATGCAATGAATTCCATTTTTTAGGCATCCTACATTTTCCCCCTTTAAGGTATAGATATTAGGCCAGTATATTTACAAATGAAATGATAATTTATCGTCATGAGTAAGTGTAATTAGGCTGAAATACTTCCATTCTGCAATCAGTGTTTTGCATTTGAGGTTTTTTGTTTTGTTTTGTTGGGGGTTTTTGTTACTTTCTATGCATATTGTTTTACAAGGTGATTTAAGGTATTTCTTAGCTGGCTTGTAATAAATAAGATGGAACTTGCCAAGAGAGAAACTCTTTTCCTTTTATTCCAAAGTATTGTTGTAGCAAATATATTTTCTTATTGTCCTGTTTTTCAGTAGATCTAACATAGGGAAGGCCATTACCTCCTCATATTGCCAACTTGGTGAAAAGTTGGGGATCTTACTGAGAGTTTCATAGCTTGTCATGATAGCTCTCCTTAGGAGAGGGTGAGTGGATCCTGTGGCTGTGGTGTGGTATATAGATGCCAAGTGCTAGGAATTCCTGGAATGTAGAGTTGTGCAGCACTGATAAAGTTTGCTTTGTTTCCTTAGTGACTTGACCCATTGAGAAAATGTGATTCCCTAGGAAGCTTTAGGAGCTCAAAGTTTATATTGAATAAAGGGAAAGGCCCTAGCATAATTCTGCTTGTTTTCACCTGCTGCCTGAAAGATTAATTTTCTTAACCTTAGTATAGAAAGTTTTGAAAGTGATTTATAGAGATCCTTCACACTTATCAGTTTGAGTAAATAAGCCACAGGCTTCTGCGTTCCAGCTACAGTCTTTTCATAACCTACTCGGTTTCCAGTGTGGTAATTTCATTTGGGAGTAAGAAACTTTCAAGGAAAAACACCTTCTAATTAGTGTGATATAATCACTCTGCTTGCCTGCTGTGGTTTCATATGACTTCAAAAAAATAGTTGAGTGATTAATCTTTAATTTTCCCCATCATTAACTTAATAAGGAAATGGGATATAGAACAAAAAGCAAACAGCAGAACTGTACAACTGAGACGTTGTTATGCCAAATCTTTTTGGCATTTTCATTTGGTGAGAAATGCCATTCTGCCAACTCTACGTGAAGAGTAGCAGCAACTGGTTAGCTCAAATAATTTGTAGAAACCTTGAACTTTATTGAAGCCTTTGCAGAGCCTGCTGTTCAACTTCTTCCCTCTTCCCCACAGTCCTCTGTGGGCTGGGTGGTGGGTTTTTTTTTCCATGGGTTTAATTAGAAGCAAATATTGCATAAGCTAACTTCTAATATAAAATAATTTCCATGTATCCACTTTTCTGAGGGGAAGGAAGCCATCCCAGACACTTTAGTGAAATACCCTTAGGAAGGGTTTGGTTCTATTTTTGTGCCGGTTACTATCTTTAGCTGCTGTGCTGATAAGTGAACTTTGTTGTAGAGTAATGCAGTTTTTGTATGAATGTGACAGGACTGGTCAAGTCTCTTGGAGAACAAAAACAAATACAACAGTGGAAGCAAGTTGCTCTTTTTGTACGTCTTTATTTAATTCTTACCGGGTGTAAAACAGGCAACATAATACTAGAAGTGTAATGCTTGAATAGAAAATATGCCTGGCTGTTTGCAAATGTTCCTCTGGGAGCTGTACTTTATTTCATTAATAAATACTATAAAAACAGTCCAGTGTACATCTGTGGGCAGCAAGACAGCAACAGAAGTTGTAGTGATCATAACTAACCTGCTTGGAGGCTTCTGCATGTTAATAATATAAAATAAACAGCCAAGGAATGTGTATTGCTGTTGACAGTGAGCGACTGTAAACATCCTCGACTGGAAGCTGTGAAGCAGCAGATGGGGCTTTCAGTCGGATGTTTGCAGCTGCCAACTGCCACAGACGTCAAGAAATGTTTGACACTTAAAACGTAGCTGTCTGTTTAAGACTTTTATTTCATTTATCACAGGCATACAAATTAGGCCAAACTTTTCTACATACTGCTTAATCTTTATTGCAATGTATGTGTCTTAATATCTAGAAATCATCCAGTCTCTGTTAGGAAGAACCAAAAATTAAATCGGGTTATATTTTTAACTGTAAACTCAGTTCTAAGTTTTCAGAGTTGCTTGTTTGTACAGGTTGCTTGGTTTTGTTTTTAGACTCCACCAGAAAGTTTTCACAAGATTATTTCACATCTTTATCGTCTCTCCAATGGTTCATTTACAATTTGAAATCCTAAGCCTTGTAGGAACTTAAAGGACTTGTGGAAACTAGAAATTCACCAGTAAGCAAAACTGGGGGGAGTGGGAGAAGTATTAGAAATTTATATTTCCTGTAAGAGATCCAACCCTTTAAAATGATGGGGAGGTCAGGGAGATTTTATGTGTCCAGGTTTACCCCTGATGTATCATAGCATCACAACTGTTTTGGGGTTCAGTGATCTTCCCCTTCACACTCCCTTGCAAAAAAAAAAAAGGAAGTGTTAAAAGTTGATTCATACTTTTCTAGAAGTCAATTGAGACAATTTCAAAATTCCAGTCCTGCCAACTAATTATGTATGTGGGTGGACCCTGTTGCTGAAATAACGACCATAAGACACAGTGAACAATTTCTGTGATTGGGACACTACTTAAGGGTGATTGCTATCGTTCCAGAAAAAGAGCAATGAGGTTGTAGCACATAACTGATTTTAGCTGATATTTAAGTTGATATTGAATTCCTTCTTGAGAGAACATAGAGAAGAAGATAGGCATCTGCTTGGTACATATGTTAAATATCTACGCTTTTGGTAAACTTTTGTTAAAGAGTAGTGGAATTTAGATGATGTGGGTAGGTGTCACATGGGAAGACTGAGAGGAGGAGGGCAGAGGCATGGACATTTTTAGTGGCTTTGAATTGCTTGCTAATTAAAATGTAAGAAGACAAAAGACATATCTTCTTAGCCAGTTATTTATTTGGCTATAAATATCTTGAAAGATGATGGTTTAGTCGGATGGCATATGGATTTGAAATTAGGACAGACACTGATGAAGCTGTGATTTTAAGTTGATGATTTCTTTGCAGGTGGAGCAGGTGAAATGGGCAGAGGTTTCCAAAAAGCCTTGTTTTGCAGATCTGATGACTCGGATCAAATAATTTTGAAGATCAAATGACTCAGAAGAGCTTGTAGTAAACTCAGAAAAAGAAAATTCAACAAATACAGCATTTGACTTAAAATAATTGGAAATTTAATTCAGGGCCAAGGTAGTTGGTAGTTGATAGTTGTTCAGGGTATGGCTTAAATGGGCTGTAGAAATAGCTGAATTTTTTGTATTTATGGCAGAAGAAAAATGGGAATTATGGGCAACAGGTTACATTTGTGAATGATAGAGGTGGGTGTTACTGCTGACAAAGTAAAACAGTAATGAAAAGAGTTGTGGTTTAACAAATAACAAGTGCTTAGAGGAGTCTTTCTGGGCTTAAAACTGGCTTTATTGACAACCATGAGAACCTGCTAAAGTGAGCTTGTAATGAAATTTATGAGACTGGGATGAACTTGAGAAATGCCATCTAGGCAGAGGATTCTTGACGTAATCTCATCTGGAAAGCTTCGCGATAGTTTTGAAGAGGATTGAGCAATAGGAAAAGACTTGCATAGACAGAGTATTTAATATCAAAAGCATTAAGTACCTCCTGTGAAGATTTACATATTGATAATATTTGTGCTTTGGCAGGAAATTCTTTCAATACCCATTCTATTACTCTTCTTCCTGAATTACGTACTGTCTCAAAGT